GGGCAGCAGTCCCTCATCATTGGGCATTCGTGGTTGCTACACCACAACCCGGAGGTTGACTGGGTACAGCAGAAGGTCATGTCCCGGTGCCCCTCCTCCTGCCAGTCGCTGCAAGCAGACGTTGCAAGCGGGAATGGGCTACAGTCTCCAGAAAACGGAAGGTAGCACTCCAACTCACTCCCCAAAAACTAGGGAAGAAAGAGAAAGGGGGCTGGAAGGGTGTTGCGGTAAAAAAGTGGGTCCATATAATCAACTGGGAGGGGGGGGAAGGAGTTCAGGGAAATATATAACTCTGATAACTCTTGCTTATCTTCTATCCGTGGTGGATTTCCCTAAAGGTCACAATAGCCCTTTACCAATTGTGTGGCCACTCACAGCACCCAAGTACATGGACTTCAAAAGTAGTGGGAGGGGGGAAATCACCTATTTGTCAGGGGACGGACCCCGGGTCCCCATGACCCCTCTCTCTATAGCCCACAGCCCTGTGTGTGAACATGTCAGGGACTCGTCCGGGGTCGAGGGGGCCCGGGTGTAGCGTCCAGGACTGAGAGCCTGGCGGGGGGCGGATTGGGCGTGCGTACTGACAGGCCCGATGCGGGACAGTGGTCCCTGGCCACTTAGACTGAAGTGGAAAGTTGTTATTATCATTAAAGGAGAGATATTGTACTACTTACCTGAAGTGGAAAGTTGAGAAGAAGGCTACTTCTTCGGTTCCCACTTCAGGTTTGTTTATATACATGCGGCTTGGATCACATGACGGGTGCCACGTCACCCTCACACACAGCCGTAACCACCCGGGTGTCTCCGTGGGAGATCCCAAGGGCATCTGGTGCAGGCGCGTGTGCTGGGCACAGCGGGAAGTCGCCCGAGGTGCCCGGGCCGGGTACATGGTGGGCGTGCTGCAGATGGGTCAATGGTACATTGATACAGAGAAAGTCGTCCATGTAGAATAAAGAGAATAAAGAAGAAGTAGGATAAGGAGAAGCTGAGGAGGGAAGGATGAGGGGGAAAGAAGGGAAAGGGGGAGGAGGTAAGGGAGGGTGGACCAGTGGGGTACCGGGTCAGGTTGGGCCAGGTGGAGCCGGGTCAGGTGGGTGTGCCCTGACAGAACAGCCTATCCTAAGGCACAACCTACTGTGGGTAAGAAAGTGTAATAGATAGAAAGGCAAGTAAGGTACACTTGCCTACTGTGGGTAAGAAAGTGAGAAGAAGGTTAACTTCTCACTTTCCCACAGTGGCCCAATATGGCAAAAACTTCCGGGGATACCCGGAAGTCACATGAAGAGTGGGAACCGGGCCCGGAGCATGTGGCACATGGAGCATGCGGGGCAGAGTGCACAAGCGGGTGCAGGTCCGGGTCCGGATGCGGGTCCGGGTCCGGGCTAGTCAGGGTGTGTGCCCTGACACTATTCCGTTTCAATAGCTATGTACATATATCCATACAGCAACATACAATTTGTGAAAAGAGTCCGAAATATATGGGTTTGGCTGACCAAAGCCTCCACCAACAATGGTGGTAAGGTTTGGCTGCTGTTGGCTTAGAATAAAATTCCAAACAACAAAAGAAATTGAAAAGGAAAACACAAACTTCCTCATATCACTCCAAACACTGCGTCAAACCTCCGTCCCTTTATTCCATCCGACTCTCCTTATCCATAGCTTTCTAATGATACCGATTTTGTGACATTTGATGGAGATTTGACTGAGAACGGGAATTCTCAGAAGCGGTATACATATCTCGATTATCTGTGCACAGGGAAACTTGGTCCAAATAAAATGCCATGATTCCAAGACTCCTCCAATGACTTCTTCTGCATTTATATTATTTGACTAGCCCATATTTTCATTGAGACTAGCTCGCACGTGAGCATCTGAACAGTTCATATCGTCCTGTGACTCCCATCATGCCTGACAATCAAAACTTCTCCACAACCACTGAACCGATTAGGGTGAAATTTAACACTGAGTCTTTGGGCACTTTTCTAAATTTAATGACCCCAAGTTCATCCTCTTCTGTCAACTTTTGACCTTGGTCCCATGGTCGCAGTCAAGTGCACGGACTTCGCACATGAGGACATCTCAGGTCGAATTTCTCCACCAAATCTCAACCAATTCCTTCGCGGAAAGACTCGTTCGGTTCGTACGAAAACCCTCTTTCTTCTTCTTTATTACTCCCTCCTACGATTCCTTTTCCCTAATAATGTACAAGGGCGGAAGCCCAACTTTGACATATTTGCTGCATAAGGTTCCATGAATTTGAGCACACCCATTATGCACTCCTACAATGTCAGGCAAGCCCTCAAAATAGAACCCAGTGACAGGATCTATGCTGCCATAATCCTGCCAGGGTGGGGACATGACCTGAGAGCGATGACGATGCCATCTCAATGCCTAGCAGAGGAAGCCCAAGACATGGAGGCAAAACTGCTGGCACTGGAGGAGCTGGTACCTGAGCACTACAGGTGTTAGATCGGGCAGATTCGGACGACTCCGGAGTGGAATCGGAGACTTAATGTGGAAGGACCTCGGCCTCAGCGACTCAGGCAGAGTGCTGTGCCATTGCTGGTTGTCCTGGGGGTCCCTAATTTCGGATCTAGCAGAGGGAAAGTCTCTAGGGGGGGGGGAATCAGGTCGATTTTGGACTGAGGTTACAAGTTACTATGTACATTGTATATAAGGAGGGGTCCGGAATCAAAAGGAACAAGGGTAGGATGAAAGGAGACAAAGGGAGCTGGAAAGAGGAACAACACCGAGGGTCAAGGGTTTGACTCAATGGTGTTTCCCAAAGGAGGAGTGAAGGGCCAAGGCCCAAGGAGGAAGGAAGGAGGAAGGGAGTGGGGAATGGCTAGCTGACTGAATAGAAAGGAAGCAGCAGCCCAAATATGAATGAGGGAAATAGTGGTGTTACAAAAATGGGGCCGGAAGCGCCCATTTTCGTCCGTTCTGGCGCAGGAATAGGGAAGGGGGTTGGACATAATGGTTTACAGGTGGTTTCACAGATGGTTTGACATGTGGTGTAACAGAAGTTAGCACAGCGGGTTTTTGGTTAATTATTGATTCGTTAAACTTAATTAATGGCACGTGCCATACAAATCACCTGACAGTGGCTGTGTGCAAGGCCCAGAAGAGGCTAGAATGGGAAATTCCCATTTCTATAACATCATTGTTATAAAAATGGGGCCTAATTGGCCCATTTCTATAGCGTTCGGGTGCAGGAGGGGGCCGTGACATTGAGAAGATGTTACAATTAATGTAACAGATGTTGTAACAGTGGGGTTTACAATAACATGGACATCGGGTGTTTTGGGTGATAGTAATTGTTGGTTAGGTTGTTATTATATACATGTCACGTGATAATATACTGTACAGAGGCCATAAGAGGCTAAAAATGGGAATTTCCCATTTCCATAACAAGTGGAATTGAATGGGACAATGCAATAGTTGCAAGGTCTGAAGTAAGTCCGGAAAGTCCGAACTCGGAAGTTAAACTCCGGAATATTGGCAAACGTAATTAAATGGAAACCAATACAATGGGTATGAGTGGAGGTGGGGTCAAAGTCTGAGGTCGGAGCTAAGACCGGAGGTTCTGGAGATGGAGACACGAACAGGATTCTGGAGTGGAGGTCCGGAGTCAGGAGCATAGGTGTTGTGTGCTCATCTGGAAGGTGTCAAGGTTGAGGTCGGACCCGGAATGTTCCGGAGTCGGACCAGAGGTGGTGTCAGAGCTGGAGGTGGGATAACCTCTTGGGAGTTGGCAAGGAGAAGGTGATGGAAGGGAAGTGGGGCTCCAGAGTCAGTTTCGGAGTTCCGGGAACCCGGAGTGGAGGTCAGGATTGTATGGATATGACAACAGGGACTTCCAGGACGTGTTCTCAAAGGAAGCCTTTGACATCCTGCCCCCTCGAAAACCCTGGGATCATGCCATCAACCTAACCCCTGATCCCAAGGCAAGATGTTCCCCCTATCCCAACCAGAGCAGAAGGAGCTAGATGAGTTCCTGTGTGAGAACCTGCGGAATGGATGCATATACCCCTTGAAGTCACCAATGGGCGCCCCTGTATTCTTTGTCAAGAAGAAGGATGGGTCCCTGTGCCTAGTCCAAGACTACCGAAAGCTTAACGAAATAACGGTCAAGAACTCGTACCCCCTCCTGCTCATTTCCGACATCCTTGTGCACCTTTGAAATGCAAGGTACTTCTCAGCACTGGATCTGCACTGGGTTTAACAACGTGCAGATCAAAGATGGCGATGAGTGGAAGGTGGCGTTGTGGGAGGGATGAGCCGGTAGTACCCAAACACCACCATATAACGGTCTACAGATGCTACCTGGGACCCGACACACAATCCCCCAGCCCATTGCACTTCCCCCATCATCTCTGTATTTTTTGATATTTTTCTGGACCAGGTTACGGCCACTTAGTTTCCATATCGGGCCACTTCTATAATATTTTCAGATATCTCCCCCAGTTCTTCTCCGATCCAGACGCATTTTATATCGTTAGAAAGCTACCGTCAAGACGAGTCGAACAAGTCCAGCATCGGGTGATTTGGTGCAGCCGTTGTGGAGATCGTCGAATTCTATCAAATGTGTGGCCGCACCCATATATTTATCATGTTTTCTGTTGTTTTCTTTGTTCTATGTTGTTCTGTCCATTTCTGTCCGTCCCTAACACCGTCGGATTGCTCGGACATTAGCTTTGGTTATATACAAACATGTATTTAGTATGATAAGAGATCTTCTCCTTCCCTGCTTTAGTGCCAGTCTGACAGTACCACGTCTGGGAGCATGTGAACGAGTTCAGTTAGGTTTATGGCGACGTTGAGAAGGCAGGATGCCTTGCTTGGCCCTAGGGAAGGTCCACCAGTTGGTCTAGTTGGTTGGTCACGGAAGTTTAAGTTTTCGGACCTAGTAGGAAGGTCCACCAGTGAGTCTGTCAGGGGACGACTCCCGGGTCCCCATGACCCTCCCCTATGGCCCACAGCCTCAGGTCTGGCCAGCCCTATCCAGGGCACAATCTACTGTGGGTCAGAGATGAGAAGGAAGTTAACTTCTCATCTTCCCACAGTGGCCACAATACATTGAAAACTTCTGGAGATATCCGGAAGTCACATGAGACCCGAGACCCGAGGTCCGGGCCATCCGGCTGCACTGAGCGTCCGGCACAGGGTGCGCGTGGGGAGTGCAACAGCCGGGTGCAGGTGCGGGTGCAGGTGCGAGTGCGGGTGTGGATGCGGGTATGGTAGGTCAGGGTGTATGCCCTGACAGAGTCTGTCAATGCTGCAGTTTCGCTCCTCCCCCTTTCGTTACCTGTGTGGTGTGTGAGGGTGGTCTGCTCAGGTTCAGAGGTCTTGTGCCCCTGCAGCCTTTTCAGCCATTCTCCCCGCTTGCAGTGTTTGCGACTAACTGGGGCCTGTTTGAACCCACAGTAATGTTCTTCAGGCTGTGCAACTCCCCTGCAACTTTCCAAACCATGATGAATGATATCCTCCAGGACTTCATCGACTGGGAAGTTGTTATTTGTTACATGGATGACATCTTGATTTTTACATCCACTCCGGAGGAACACCAGAAGGTTGTGTGGGAGGTGCTGGAAACGTTGCGGAAGAGGAAGCTCTTCCTCAAACTGGAAAAGTGCAAGTTTGAGCAGTGCTGCATTGAGTACCTCAGACTCGTCATTTCCGAGGGCAGTGTCACCATAGACCTGGTGAAGGTCCAAGGAGTCCTTGACTGGCTGACACTGACAAAGGTGAAAGAAGTACAATCCTTTTTAGGCTTTGTGAGCTTCTATCGCTGCTTCATCAAGGACTTCTCCAAGACAGTGCACCTGCTCCATGCACTGACCCACAAAGCGAAGGCCTGGGCATGGGGGGAGAGTCAAGAACATGCCTTAAGAAAGCCATCACCTCTGCCCCCATCCTCGCTTTCCCCACTGACTCTGGCTGCTACAGACTTGAGTGTGACACCTCCAACTTTGCCACCAGCACCATCCTATCCCAGCTCCAAGCTGATGGAAAGTTCCACCCCATAGCCTTCATGTCCAAGAGCTTCACCAAGGTGGAATGCAACTACAAAATTTACAATAAGGAGATGCTTGCAATAGTCCAAGTGCTAGAGGAGTGGCATCATTTTGTAGAAGGAGCAGAAGAAAAGGTCAACATCTACACTGACCACCACAACTTAGGCTATTTCCGCACTGTGCAGTGGCTTAATCACTGCCAAGCATGGTGGTCACTCTTCCTGTCCCACTCCCACTTCACCCTCATCCACTGGCCAGGGAAGCTCATGGGGAAGCCGGACACCCTTTCCTGTTGCACTGACCACCTGAAGGGGGAAGAACAACAACGAGAGCCTGACCCTCCTGGAAAGAATATGTGTGGTGAAGGACTGTGATGAGAGGGTGCTGAAGGAACTAGGGGATGGAACGCTCAGGTCAGATGAATGGAGCAGAGATGGGGAACTGATCCTCTACAGGGGGAAGGTGTATGTCCCTGTCAGGGCACACACCCTGACTAGCCCGGACCCGCATGTGGCTTCCACCCTGCATGCACTGTGCACCGCATGCTCCGGGCCTGGTCCCTGTCCTTCATGTGACTTCCAGGTATCCCCGGAAGTTTTCGCCATATTGAGGTTGTCCCCTGACAGTCCTGCAAGACCCACAACTCCACCACAATCTGGTGTGGCTACACCACGATGCACAGGCGATGGGGCACCTGGGGTGATGGAAGACCCTAGAGCTCATCTCCTGTGACTACTGGTGGCCCCAGATGGTGGATTACATAGGCCACTATGTAGCAGGATGCAATGCCTGTAACTGGGTCAAATCATTCCCCTCACGGAAGGTGGGGAAGCTCATGCCAAACAAGATCCCTGTGCGCTGCTGGCAGGTAATCTCTGTAGACATGATTGGAGAGCTCCCCAAGTCTGCCTTTCCAAGCACATCCATGCAATCCCCACAGTCACAATGGTAGACTTGGTGGGAATCGCCTGACTTTTCCTTGAGCATGTCTGGAAGCATCATGGCCTCCATCAGCAAACCTGGTACGGACCTCTCAGACCTCTCAGAGCTCTCAGAGCTCTGAGCAAATTGAGTCTTTTGCTGTGCACCCTCTACACATAGAGTCAAGAAAATGAAATATATATATGATTTTGTTCTCATAAGGATGCAGAAGTGCAAAGATAATATGGATATCCATTTTTGGAAATGCATGTAAAATAGCCATCATCATCACTTGAAAAGCTCTATGAGCTCTATGAGCTCAGTGGGCTCATAGAGCTCATAGAGCTTTGTGTTTGTTTTACTAATGAATGGTCTTCATGTCTCCATGGAATCTGCTGAGTTATCTTGGCACCAGTAGTGCAATGGTAATATGGATATATGTTTCTGTAAATGTGTGGAAAATAGCCATCCTCATCACTCCAAAGGCTCCAAAGGCTCTATGAGCTCTATGATCTCAGCAGGCTCATAGACCTCATAGACCTTTTGTGTTTACTGATGTATCCATGGAATATGCTGAGATACAGCACTTTGTTTATTGCTATTTGCAAAATTTGAGGAAAACTCCGAAATTCAAAACTTTGCACTTCATCTTTCTTGCTCAAAACTCATCCAATTTTGATGATTCTATCTATGTGCATTGGAAAGCACTTAAGTGTGGCAATGTAACCATGCATGTTATGTAAGGTATAAATCAGTTTTGAAAGTGTCCCAAAAAGAGTAAATTTAAAATACAGCCCAATAAAGCAAACAGAAAGTTGATGTATCCTTCAGATGTCATCCATACATCCATACCAAGCCTTTTGAATTGTCAAAATTGGTTGAGTTTTGGGTGAGAAAGGAGATGAAATATATAGTGTAAATTTTTGGATTTTGGAGTTTGCCTTGAAATTTTCAGATAGCAAAAATTTTATGATAGATGTCAGGGCAACCACACCTGACCATACAACCCCAGAATCACCTTCCCTGACCTCCCCCAACTTCCCTGATCCTCCCATCTTTACACACCTCTCACAACTACAGCCCGCATGCAAACCCGTGGGAAAAATCACATGGGTCAAGGCAAGCAACTCGCCTTAACCCATGTGACACCTTTTCCACATTGCGGGAACATGCTCGGCTTCTACCCATAGTCACGTTACGAACTGTACAGTACATTTCCCTTTTATAGCAGCCAAGCAGGGAATAGGGAAACTTACCCTTCTTCTCAACTCAATCCCTGCTTAGGCAAGTTGTAGCTACCTTCCATAATACATGACAACTCAATCCCCGCTTAGTGAGTTTGAGGAGCTTGGGATAGGATCCAGCACCTGGCTGCCTGGGACACCACAAGTGTCCAGCTCTGAGGTAGGGCCGCCCCCGGACAGAGGCCAGGCCCTGGCAATAGAAAGGTGATTTCAATTTTTTTTAATTATTTCTAAATGTCCTGAAATTTCTCTCCCTAACATTTCCCAAGATTTCTGAAATTTCCCTGATTTTCCCTGATTTTTTAGAAAATTTCCTTTTCTCAATTTTTTTCGAAAGTCCCCCATTTCTCCCTGAATTTTCTGAATTTTCCTTAATTTTCCCTGACTTTTTTTCAAGTTTTTAGAAACCCCCCAGTTCCCCCTCATTTTCCTCCCATTTCCCCCTTCATCTGTCAGGGACCGACCTGGGGTCAAGAGCGTCCGGGTATATCACCTGGGGCTGAGGGCCTGGTAGGGTGCAGTGCGGGCGTGCGTAACAACAGGCCCGAAGCAGGCAAGGGTCCTTGGCCACTTAGGCTAAAGTGGGAAGTGTGTTATTATTATTAGCAGGGGAATGTAAGCTACTTGCCTAAAGTGGGAAGTGTGAGAAGAAGGTTACTTCTCAGTTCCCACTTAGGCTGTGTTTATGCACATGCGGTTGGAGGTCACGTGGGGAGTGCCACGTCATCTATGCGCACAGCCATACCCGGGCATCTCCATAAGAGGTCTCAGGGGCGTCCGGTGTGTAGGGCGTCACCCAGTGTGTCCGGGTCCAGGCGTGTTGCGCAGTCTGGTTAATGGTACATTGAGCAAGGAAGTCGTCCGTGTAATAGAAAAGGAAAGAAGGAGAAAGAAAGGAAAGAAGAAGAAAGAAGAAGGGGAAAGGAGAGGGAGAGAAGGGAGGAGAGAGGATGGGGGCAGCGGGTGAGGGTAGTGGAATCAGGTGGGGTCGGACTGGATGGAGTGGGGTCAGGCGGGTGTGCCCTGACATCACCCCCCCCTTAAGCCACTTTGCCTCGAAGTGGGCAGGCGGTTCTCCCTCTCTCTTCCTGGAGCCTGGGGGTGTGTCCTGTGGAACTCCTCGATCCGGTCAGGGGTGTGGGTTAAGTGGTCCTGCTGGAGCCAATTGGTTCTCTGAGCTTGGCCAGCCCATGAACTTTACCAGATACCAGAGTTTCCGGCGTAGCCATTTAGAGTCCAATACTTTCTCAACTTCGTACTCCTCTTCTCCATCTACGAGTTCCGGGCCCGGGTGGGGGTCAGGGGGTCGTTCTGCGATCTCGTCCAGGCGGTGGGGTCTTATGTTCGTCACGGACACAACTGGGTGTACTCCCTTCTGCCATGCGGTGAGCTGGAGCTTGACAGCAGCTGGGGAGATGACTTTGACGACTTTGAAGGGACCTAGCCACTTATGGTCCAGCTTCTTGGTCGGACGGTCGGTCGTATAGTTTTGGGCGCTGAGCCAGACTTGGTCGCCTTCCTGGTACTTGGGGGCTGCCTCCCAGCCTCGGTCGTAGTAGCGGGCCATCTCGTCTGCTGCATGCTGCCTTCGCCTCCTCCTGCATCTTTATCATCCTGGATGAGAAAGCGTCAGTGGCTTCTACCTCAGATGTACGTGTGGGTTCCGTCCCCATCCTGGGGTGCTGCCCGGTGTCAAGCTCGAAGGGGGTTCGACGGGTGGAGGAGTGGACACAGTTGTTGTAGGCAAACTCTGCCAGTGGGAGCCAGTCTGCCCAATCGTCCTGGCGGTGGTTGACAAACACCCGGAGATAGGCTTCAATCTCCTGGTTGACCTGTTCCGTTTGTCTGTCAGTCTGGGGGTGGTAGGGTGTTGAAGGGGTCAGTTTGACCCCCAGGAGGTCCGTGAGTTCCCTTGAGAAGCATGAGACGAAGGCGCTTCCCCTATCACTGAGGATCTCTTCGGGGAGTCTGTGGTGCTTCCAGACATGCTCCAGGAAGAGCCGGGCGATACCAGCCGAATCCACGGATGTCATAGTAGGGATTGCATGGATATGTTTGGACAGGTGGTCCACTACAACTAGGATGGCATTATATCCCTTCGACTCTGGGAGCTCTCCCACCATGTCTACTGAGATCACCTGCCAGCGGTGGGTGGGGACTTTATTTGGGGTGAGCTTCCCGACCTTTCGTGTGGGGAAGGTTTTGACATGGTTACAGGTGTCGCATCCACGTACATATCGTCTGACATACTCTGCCATCCGGGGCCACCAGTAGTCATGGGAGACGAGCTCCAAGGTTTTCCATCGCCCTGGGTGCCCTGTCGCCCACGCGTCATGGTGTAGCTGTACTAGATCGTGGCGGAGTTGTGGGTCTTTCAGGACATACACCCTACCCTGATAGAGGACCAACTCTCCCTGTTTCTCCCACTTGTCCAACCTCAGCGTCCCTTCTCCCAATTCCCTCATGGCCTTCACCACCCGTTCGTCATGATCCTTCGCTTCTCATATCCTCTCCAGAATACCTGCTTCCTCACCCTCTACTGAGACTGCC